TGTATTTTGCAATACAGTACTTAATTAATTTTGAACATGTGCTTACTAATGTACATGTGTTTGACATTTTGAATTTTTGGAGTGAGTTTAGTTTTACCCTGCTTTTAGCAATATTCCGCTATTCCAGCCGGGGACACCAGAAATGGGTTTGCACATTGTACCCTCATGGGGAATTGAACCGGGATCTTCGGCGTGACGAGCGAATGCTGTAACCACTAGGCTACCCCAACACCCTGTTAATTCTTTGAACTCTGCATGGTTAATATCCATTTGTGAGTATGCTCTTGTGAATGCATCCATTGGAGTGTGACATGTTGCTTTCCTAATTCTGAAATTTTAAATTAAGTTTGCGTGAGTGCATTCATGTGTGTATGTGTGAAAAAAGTGAAAAACCTGCTGTTCTGTTGTACATTGATGTCTTTAAAGATAAGACAGGATATAAGGGTTTTCTTTCTTTTTTAATTTCTTTTTTCACACAACTTTTAAAAAGCTAAATACTTGGTTTCATGATTATTCTAAAAATTATACATCTTCACTAATAAATTGTATTCCCTGAGGAAATTATAATGAACAAATTTAAACTTTAATCAAAAACAGTTTCTTTTATCAGATCGATGAATAAACATTTTCCACTAGTTCTTGCCATTAGTGGAACAAGTGAACCAATATTACTCCCCCTTCATAAGTCATTCAATATTCTAAAGCTCACCCAAAATTTAATAAAACTTAATTCGCTTAAGTGCAACTTTAAAACAGCATTTCCTTTTTCAGTTAATTTGAAAATTGTGGCAAATGACAGGCTTGCTAGAGTGAAAGGACATGGCAGGATTTCACACCACTATGAAACCATCTCTTCCCTTCTCTCACACTGGATAAGATATGACACATATTTTTAACAGTGTACTCTAATTTTCCAATATCGACTCTAAGCTTTTAACGCAAATGCATTTCTCATGACGTATAATTGAAAAAAAGGGACTGAATTATTTTTTCAGGCAATTTTTCCCAACCTCTTCCATTTGTGGTAATCGTTAATAGTTATTGCGTAGAAAACTGGAAAGTTCATCTCGCCTCGGCTTTTTGAGGCTTACTGAAGCGGGTTTAAGTCGACGGGTCCCATGAGGTCATTTGTAAGTCTTCACACTCCTTAACAGAAAGGCCACAAGACACGGTCCTGCATCTACACTTGGAAGGAATCTTACATAAGTTGTCTATTATTTCCAGGCAAACAGTCCCTTCCATGAGTCCCGTGAGGCCTTCTGACATTATTACAACCAAGCGGTGTCGCTAAACTCCATCTTGAGACATACCACTTGCAAACAGCAATCGATTTGCCCTTGTTTAGATTCATAAGACTATGAAATGGGAATATTCTGTACAGCTATGTGAATGATACACGTTTCTTATCAATGCTTGCTTCCAATATATGGTCATTAGCATTTTGCCTGCCAGACAAATGGGTCTTTTACATACAAATAGGTAAGAATTATTCCACAGAGAAATAGGTTATGAGAGCAGTGGTTTGTGGATTCCTGACTTGCACATGGAAGTGTAATGATATCAGAAAAGAGTTTTCTTTATACAGGATGTATATCTTAATGGGATCTCTTGGATTCTTGAAATGGTTCTGATCTCTGACCCTTATCAACAGTGAAGAAGGAACTTAGGATCATTTCTTTGACAAATGAATGTTGGAGATCTATAAAATGTTTGACATTTTAATCTACTATTTGTCTCTGTTTTATGTATACAGAGCCATCAAGCATCTATCCTTCATCGACAGATGGATAATACTTTCCAAGCATCAGTCAGTTATGTAATATAAATGTGACTATTTTGATAACACAGTATGCATGGCTAATGCTATGTTAAAGTGCTTATAACTGACAAAACCTGTGTACAACCTCTGAATACTTTTCAAAAACAAGAACAAATGAAAAGTTTCATTGTCAAACTCATATCATCCAAAGGCTTAAGAAACTTGCAAGATCACTAAACAAAATTCACCTTCTGAGCCTCTGGCTTCTACCAGAGATCAAGCCAGTACCTGGACTATGCTTCCACAGAGCGATCTTAGTGTTTGTTTGTTTGTTTATTGATTGACACTGCATGCAGCAATATTCCAGCTGTATGGCGGTGGCCTGTAAATAATCGAGTCTGGACCAGACAATCCAGTGATCAACAACACGAGCATCGATCTACAAAATTCGAATACGATGACATGTGTCAACCAAGTCAGCGAACCTGACCACCCGATCCAGTTATTCGCCTCGACAAGCATGGGTTACTGAAGACCTATTCTAACCCGGATCTTCACTGGTCACAATCCAAGTGCATTAGGACTGTAGTTAATGTTTGTTAACATCATTGTGACAGTCATAATAACCAGCATTGTGATAGTCATAATAACCAGCATTGTGATAGTCATAATAACCAGCATTGTGATAGTCATAATAACCAGCATTGTGACAGTCATAATAACCAGCATTGTGACAGTCATAATAACCAGCATTGTGATAGTCATAATAACCAGCATTGTGACAGTCATAATAACCAGCATTGTGACAGTCATAATAACCAGCATTGTGATAGTCATAATAACCAGCATTGTGATAGTCATAATAACCAGCATTGTGATAGTCATAATAACAAGAATGATTTGTAGAATGGGGCCAAGAACAATCACAATTCTATATACATCATATGCATGGACATGATATGACATATTATTATAAACTGTCCTTACATAGGATATAATACATATGGCCACACTTGGGATGCTGCTGAATATTGATGAATGGAAACATGGAGGACATTTACAGTTAATATGCTTGAATAACACTCCCATAACACAATTTCAAATAATAACATTGAATCATTTAGAAAAATACAATTCAGTAGGAGCAATTCAATAGTTCCATAAGTCCCGCTACATAGTTTCTAATGGGTAATGGTGATGTTAGACCACCTACATTGTCAGAACAAGTTTTTGTTTAAAACGAGATGCCAGTATGTAAGAGTTCTCTGTCCTGTTGTATGGATGGCATAAGCCCCAAGTGCCGGGCAAGGGACTTCAAGCATGTACTCATCAGAGGCTGACAATCTGAACTTCCGAGGGGGATAATCTGGGTAATACTCATTGTCACTTTAAGACAGAAAATACACAGAACAGCATGAGAGCCTGAAGGGAAGCTTCACTGACGTCAGCTGGTTGTCCTTGTTGTCTTGTTATCAGTGGGTGACACTATGGATGATGTCATATCATGTTCACTGCACCAAAGTGACATCATTCACTTCAACTGAGGACCTATCGATGTTGCTAATATGCACATATCGTAAAGTCTGTCTATCCTTATGGGTAAAATAGCTAACTATTACTGTATCCCTCCATACATTATCTGAAGAAAACACAGGATCCAGGACTAATATATATATAATGATAATAATAATGTGTCCATTTATATAGTGCCAAACTCCACACCATGTATGCTCATAGCTCTAAAAATGAATAGCACAGCACATTATTACCCCAGATAACCCAAGCTGCATGTTAGGTGCTAGAAGGTTACAGTCACAAGACTTAGCATCAGATCATATCTCTATAATCATAGCCCAGTGTCTTTCATATCAAAACCTCAACACTATCAATTAAAGTGGCAAACTCTGAGGAAAGCTGTAACGCTTCAGTTTATCATCATTTTCATACAGCGGTTGTCTTATCACATACTGACTATAACCACACATGCAGCAGCAGGTTCTCCTATGTGAATCACTTTCAGTGCTTCGTCATTCTGTTTACACAGGGGGGCCATCGGTTGCTAGCCCCATCCCTGGTTGAGAGTAACATTCAACATCCTAACTTGGGTTACACCAGCACAAGTATCAGTCATCTGTAAATACTACTATCATAGAACAAGATTAGATACAAGGAATCTCATTTAAATACAACTGAATTACATTTATTTGAAGTTTTGACTTTCCTTTGTGTTAAAACTATTTAGTTTTAGTTTTAGTTTAATTTAATCTGTGATATAAGATAAGAGTAATATGCATAAATCAGTTCCATATGAGTGAAAGTAAGTGAAAATATAATGTAATCTTGTGCTTACCAATCAATCCTCTAATATTAATTTATATTCACCATTTGAACTTGATACCAAAACATTTACAAACATTCATCTCATATGATAAGAAAAGTTAAAATACAAAAAAGTGACAAAACATTTTATGCTATAATATATAGTTGCCAGGCATTTTTTTGTCTAGACGTTATATTAGATGCTGAACATGTATGACATTACAGTGTAACTTAGCTGCATGTATTTGTTAAATTTAATACCAAGGCAAATGTTCAACAGACAGCACTGCAAGTAGACTTTAGTAAAATACAAAGCATAGCAAGAAGAATGGATGAATTTGGTTCCATATCTCGGTAGGTTTCTTGCTATAAATATTGCTGTGAGCAATCAGCATGTTTGGAGGATATTATATCTGAAGTTAGGTTCTACATTGTGATGATGATGATGATGATATATACATTCCCATCTGTAAAATGTGTACAAGTTTTACAGATTACATCATAACAGCATTTCGTTTAATATCTGCTCCAACTTACATTTACTGAGAAACCATATTTCCTGATGTGTCATAAATTATAGTACATAAAAAATGATAATGATACGGACATGTTTTAACAATATCCATGTCACTTTGTAAATTGGGCGAAAATTTCTGGATATATTTTATGTTTAAAAATCTTCTTCATAATAAATTGCTGCTGCACACATTCTGTATTAGCTCCTAAAAGCTATTATGTTGTCAAAGTGAAGAGATATATATGATTACTGGCAAACTGAAAAATAAACTAAAACAATTATATTGATAACAGTGGAAGCTTTCGGCAGTATATCTTGATAATAATCATATTTAATGTGAGAACTTGTCTAAAATGGCCTGTTTATGATCTTCTTCACGGGTTTGAAAAATAAAACAACACTTACCTTCTAGGGCTTGTGTCGGGGAGGGTTCGATTCAAATCTAGCCCATCACTGGCAGAAACATTATAAGAAAAGCCAAGGAAGCCTTCATTTTCCAGTTTCTTTATCCGTTCTTTATCCTGTGTTTTCTCGTAAAATTCTATATTTACTTCCGTGTTAGATTCCACTGTTTCTTCAAGTGATTTCCCTTGAGTTTGGGAAGAAATTGGAGAATTTTTTTTCACAGTAACTCGACCGCTGCGTGTCTGTGTTGGGGACTGGTGTGGTGATGTTTTAGGTAAAGTTTGATATTCGGGACTTTCCTCACATCTTTGGGAATCTGCTGCGTGGATACATTTATTACTTCTAGGGGTTTTACTGGGTGATTGATCATCCCCTGAAGATTTAGATAACACAAATTTCTTTTTATTTACAACTTCATTTGCTATTAATATCCTTTTCTTAGACCCAGCCACACCTCTGCTATTTACAAATCGCTCTTTGTTGCTGATTTCATGGTAACCTCGAATTTTATCCCGATCGAACCCAATGGATTCAATTTTTCGAAGGGCACCTCGATACAACTGCTGGATTTCCATGGCTTTTTCCGAGGCAATTTTCCGATCAGGAGAATTGGTGGATCCAATAAAAGAGGAATTTGATTTGGGGAGAAATTTTTCAATTTGAGAACTCCTTATAGAACTTTTCGAGGAATAGAATTCTCCATTTTCACCATCTTCCATCTTGGATGTGTCGGAGATTGTATCAAACATAAAAATGGTAGTAATCCATAGAGACAGAATTATGCCCAGGGATGTGCATCGCTTTCCAAGCCGAATCCAGCGCCCAGCTTTTCGGTAATATTTGATGATTTTCATTTGAATCTTGCTTAATGGATCCAGAGACCATTCCTCTATCTAAACAAGTCAGCGACGAGTCTTGCAAAACTAGTCATCAGTGTGCTGAAAAGGAATTTATCAAAATGTTAAAATTATGAAAAAATATCATGGAATATTTATTACTAATTAAATATAAGTTTTCATTAGTAAGCATTTTTTGTTAATCTAGCTCTACTGATAAATCATAGTAATGATGATAACTTGATTTCACATATTTTGGACTGTGTTACATGTGCTGAGAATAATATGGAAATATCTCAGACATTTCTGATAGCTATGTTTTATGCCACATTGTATATATTATATGATTATTATTATGATTATTTTATGATATTGAAGTTAACTGATAACAAACATTATGATACTGCTGATATACATTCTATGAAAGAATGATGTTGTAATATTTATTAACATTTATCACAACCTTGTGATAAGATAATAATTATAACAATAACATAATGATATAGATTGTATTCATGATTTTAATGTAAGTATTTATGATTATAAGCATGATTATAACATAAGTATGGTTAATAACAGTTGAACAGTAAGATGATGATATCAGTTATACTGACCATGACAACAAACAGAGCATGGGGATAATGGTATTGAATAAGTGATTCAGTGTATTAACGATACAAACATATCATGTTTTAATGTAGAGACAGGCTACTCGTATATTATACCACAATAAATTGAATGTTGTACACTTAGCATGTCTCAGGTTTTAAACATTTTGTGCGGTTATACCTACAGATAACCTTAGTTGTACATTGAAAACACAGATTTTTCCTCTATTCTACATGACAGACTGACCATTATTGTACGATACTGATTGAAGCTGCACCGATTATGTCCAATGTTTTGAGCAGGCTTTTTACCTGAATACAGATAACCGCAATACTAGCCCCTAAACAGTATGGCCCGGTCTACACTCAAACATTGACTTAGTTGCATCATTGAACTATCCTTCCATTCACAATCGTATAAGCTCATTTACAACTCATAAGCCTGCATGTAGTAGGCACCTGTTAAGAAAGTGGAGAAACCCTAGAAGGTTTAGTTCTACATTGTTGAGTCATTATGATGTCACATCGCAAATTGGTGCAAAATATATTATGTCTTAGTCTACTTTGGAAAGCTGCCATATTTGGATCACTCCGATGTCTGCGACACACTCTCCATGGATGTCTGCTGGGCTCTCTCCGATGTCTGCGACACACTCTCCATGGATGTCTACTGGGCTCTCTGTACACAACGTACTGCCACAATGTACTGTGATTATTGTTCTGAACACAAATCTGTATTTGATGACCGGTCATCGTACATATAAATACTCAAAAGAGCCTATCAACTTTGATTTACAAAGAAGTACTTTCCTATGAATATTAGGTTCCACAGAGATGCAGCCCTCAAATTGGCTGTTTCAGTCAGAGGTGATTTGATATTTTGGATTGAACAGCCAGACCTGAGTTAATTTCCCAATTGATGGTAGAATGATGTTTGAAACAGTGGTAATACCACGGAGATTTGTACATAATCTGGTCTGGATCAGGACGAAGCAAATATTGACAGAGATAATAATAAAAACATAATGATGATGATGAGGAGGATCGGATAAGGATAATGATGATGGTGATGATGATGTATTGGTAAAGGAGTGAGTGAGTGAGTATGGTTTTTAGCAATATTCCAGCAATATCACGGAGGGGACACCAGGAATGGGCTTCACACATTGTATCCATGTATGGAATCAAACCTGGGTCTTCAACGTGACGAGCAGACACTTTCACCATTAGACTACCACACACCCCGTGTGGTGGATGATGATGATGATGATGATGATGATGATGATGATGATGATGATGAACATGAACATGAAGATGAAGATGAAGATGAAGATGAAGATGTAAATTACTGACAAATTCCTGCAGTGGCTGAATTCTTGATAAAACTTTCTTGCTGGTATTAATTCAAACACTTTCACATTACCTCTCTGCCTCGGCACATGGGAAATATCAAACTCCCTCTTACACTGATGGACGTTCACTGAATGTCACATAATTACAACTCACATCCAATTACTCAAACTAACATAACACAATCATCGAAGTTTTGCCATTTTAATCAATACGATCACAATTCTCTAAGCTAGCAACAGCAAGGTTCTAGCTTGCCACAGATGAAATTCAGATCAATACCAAAATCACCTGTTCAATTTACACCAATCATGCCTCATATCAGAGATCAACAGCAGACTGCATTTCACATCAATAATGTCACCTTTGGTGAGAACTATCACTTTAATCTTAACGACTTCACGCTAGGTAGTAACCTCGTCAAGCTTTTAACACCTGAGATTAGCCTCCATATTGACATGAACAAATTATAGGAGATTTTTTTCAACCAACACAACTGAATGAGATTGCACAGTTTCATTCTTGTATCTTTTTGTGTTGTTTTTCCTCATCAAATTATAAATTGAGATTTTAAATCACCATGACAAACATGTGAGCTATGAAGCAATACTTTGATCAGAACTCACTCTGATGTGAATAATATTGACCACGTTTTAACGGTCATTTAATTGTTAAAGACCAATAATCTGAGTGTACAAATATGAGTTTTATATATCTGAGACATACTTCAGTATATACAATGAATACCAAAATCATAATCTTTAACCTTTGGCTTAATTATCTGAAAAAATATGCATATTTATAAACAGAATTTAAACTAACATTGTCACAACAGAAAATCGTTAATACTTTAAACTGAAAAAACATGACCAGATTCTGCACTTATGGCAACATGTTATAAAATTTCTTACAGAGATTATTTTTATTATTCCTTTTTACAACCTAGGATATTTTATAGGAATAATTATATACACTGAGAAATTAATAGAAGCCTTGCCTTAGAGATTATACATAAAGTGGTAATATTTTGACATGATATCAAAAAACATATCTACATTACGTTACACAAAAAAAAATTAATACAAGAAATGAAATATCTGACATAAATAGAGAATGATATGAAATATTTGTCCGCAAGCCCTAATAAAATATATCATTATGATGAAGATCATTCCATCCAATCACACACACTACTTTTGAAAGTGATATGTGTAAAGTGTAGCAGCCATATATAGAAACTGTCTGGCATATATAGACCCGCAGACACCAGTCACAAGGTCTTCCTATGGCTTCCTAACAACTAATCTTAGATTGTCTGCATTGAAAATGTTGTTTAAGGCTAAATTTTCATGTGTGTGATGAATTCATAATCCATCAATTTCATGCCAGTGATATATTCTTTAAAATCTACACTGGCAAAACCTTGATAACAACTTGTAAACTAACACTTTTTAACCTTGCTATGATATCTGATCTAGCTAACTACCTAACAGGGAAATTGAATTAAATTTCTGGATTGGATTTCATTTTGGCTAAATATCTTCAAAGGTATGCAAATCTGATTTATAATGTTGAATGTGAACATGTTAGTGGCAACTGATGTTAATAATTACTCAAAACCTAAAGAATTCAATTTCCTCAGAATTCATTTTAATTACGGTTTTAAATTTATACTTTCATGTCATTGCTGTCAGTAGACATACGAGAAATAAGTATAAATGAATCTTTGAAATGAGTGGATGTTGTAAATATCAACTAAATATTGACCTTTTTAATAATCTAATCAATTGTCACTGACCTTTGATGCACTCTGTGATCTGGTACTGTGCCACTTTGTCACCAGCTGTCAATCAAGCCAGGCAGCATAGCTCATGGGGTTGTAGACAGGTGGGGGGTAGCACAGTAATTCACAACTTGGCTGCCTACATGCTGATAGCCATCTCAATGGGGGCGACAAATGTTCTCTGTAATAGTTGATGGTGAATCTCTGCGATGATAGGCTGATATGAGTCCCGGTGATCTTAGCAGGCAAATCTGGTTTCCTGGTTCAAGGAAGATTATAGTGCATCTTCTCCCTGTCATAGAGTAACTCACAGAGATTCAGTCCAACCTCAGGGCTTGATCCAAAACACAGCTCTGCAAAACCTTTGGAGGCAAAGAACATAGGTTTGCACAAGTTAGGATGCACATGAGTGGATGACTTCTAAGGGTTAAAAGTGAGAGGACTTTAAATTATTATTTTTTCAGATTTATACATATTTTTGAGGCAGATGTTAGTTTTCCATATGATGTTTTGAAGGTTTTGGAACTTACTGCAAATCATTAACCCTGACGAGTAATTTTAGGAAGGATAAACAAAAATCTCCATTTAAATCAATAAACAGATATATGTTTTGTAAATCAAATAGTTTACGCAAGCCAAATATTGGGAATGTTTCATGAATTTGAAACTTAACACAAGGATATTATATGAAATAGAACAACATTTGTTAAAGAGCGTTTTTATGTTTTCAGTTAAAAACACATTGCAACTGACAAATTACAAAAACTAATGGTGATTTCATGAGAACAAGAAGCAATTTCTTCCAATTCTGCCTCTGAAGCAACAACTAGCAGACGACAGGGGGTGGTAGCAGACGACAGTTGAACCCAAGTCACTCACGTCTGCTTCAATTACAGCGTTTGACAAGCAGAATTCACAACTACTGTGAGCATCTAAAGGGGGACACATGAGTATTGATGGCTCTCTCTCCTTAGGAGATTGATAGTGAATGTCTTTCAGGGAGATTTTGTAGGATGACTTCGCAAATAAGGTTTGATGAGAAAATTTCACTGATTTTCTTCAACGAGATTCCAAATTTCAATGAAGATTTTCAAGGAAGGAATTCAAGCACACATTTAGTGACTGATAGTTGTTGCTGATAGAACGTGGTCGATTTTTCACCAAGGAGATTTCAAATTTCAATGACAGGTTTTCACATCCAGAAATGGAGAGTGGTCAAATTCTCTGACAATAATCCAGATAGAGGCAAATAATCACATTCAGTGATTTATCTTGTAAATGAGATTCAAAATATTCAGCAAGATCCTCCACAGCTTGGATTTCAAACACACTGCTATCAATTTTTTCATGATTAGAACGGAATCCTGAAGTGTACTGCAAATGCAAATAGACTGATTCCTTTTAAATGTAAATTAAATATCAAAAGATAACATGCAAATTTCTTTTATCAGTATTTAAAAAACACATTAAATTTCTCCAAATAAAAAGGTTGCAAAACCAAATTCAGGTCATTAAATTTTTGTTTATAGCTCCTGTATACTATATTCAGCAATATTCAGGCACTAAAGTAAGTGTGTGTGTGTGAGTGCGTGTTGGTTAACAGACGCAAATATATATTTCTATTGGTCAGCTAACTAAAAGAACTGAATGAGACTAACCTTTACATTATGACTGTAACACTTCATTCTAAGTGAGACAGATGATATAAATAAAATATTGATTAGCATATGAGTCATAATTAATAGTTATGCTGAAAACAAAATACCTCAAAACTGTCAGGTTTAAAAAAAAATATAAGCCTATTGTTTGACCAGTTTTTAAAAAGGTACATAAAACTATAAGCTAAAATGGTGTGACCACAATCCACCGTGGCATTTATAGTTTACAACCTGCAGTAAAATTGAGTTAACATCTCACTTTCATCCTTCATACAAAAATGCTTTACTGATCAAGGTACTTTTTTCTACAAAAGGGAAAAGTTTAATGAACAAATTTCTAAAATTTCTTCAAAATAATGTTTTTGTTTGAATATTCCAAAAGATCTTTGGCGACGAGATGTGAGAGGGCAGATGCCACAAGGCTGGATGGAAACGTGAATCAGTGATTGAGTTGTGAAAGCGTGTTACATCCGACTGTCCAAAGATTTGATTTCTGAAGACGCCAGAGGTTTGACTGACATGCGGCTTACAGCAGACACTTGGACGGCAGTTAGCACACACACGAACAGACCACCATGTCATCAGCTTCTTTCAAATGATCATCACAAAATTTTAGGCCTTTGAAGTTTGGTTAAAAAGATTCCAATTAGATACGATGTATCCCTCTGAATTGCCAACTAATTCAGACTCCTAGTAGCAAAACCTTAATGATTATGCCTTGATAATCATGAAATATTTTGTCATGACAGAAAAATGGGTGGAATTGATTCATCAGCTGTCAATCATGAAAAAACAAATTCAGTTTGTAATTTGGCTTAATCCAATAAATCGAGGACTGTACACTGCTGTTATATGTTCAGCATTCACATTAGAAAATGTCCTTTGTTTCAAAAAGTATACCTATCAGTTTTCTAAAATGATCAGTATTTTGATTTTTCAAAGCAAATAATCCATACTTGATACTAATTCTTTGACTTGTACTCTACACAAATAATTAGTAGATAATCACCCGTGTTTGTTGAAGGTCTTGTGGTAAAAATCCCATAAAGATGACAAAAAACTTGTTTGTCTGATGGCTGATTGCTGTGCTGAGGGCTTTTCAGGCGATTTTTTCATAGATCCACACATCAATAAATGAATGTGAGAGGAATATTCTGCTCGAATCACACATGGACACAAGATGCCTTGCAGCAGATGACTTCTCCAAGATATATAAGGAAGTAATCCGAAGTCAATCATACGAGTGTGATCAGAATATGGCTTGTATCATAAATCCATCAATACCACATTTCACACTCTTCAACATGTTATCACTTTATGTCAACACTTCAATGATATCTTTCGTAATTTGTCTTCCGAATCGACTTCATTACCAAAAACGGAAATTTATCCACATAAAAATATTGCCATTAGATCCACATTTTCTGATTAAAGTTTGTATGTCAGCAGCAACATATCACATAATCATCCCATGACACCAGGAAACACACACAACATAAGTTATACAGCTCTCGCATTGTGAAGCAGACGACAAAACACTTCTGAGCAGACGACAAGTTCTCACTTCTGCTCCTGCACTGGTGTGATCTTCTGCTGGTGTTGTTAGACTTAGCGTTTGTTCTCTGAGAGGTGTACAGTCTCTATCTATCCGTTCCAACACTGCCACCAAAGTAGCGATCACAGCGTTGCCACCAATGTAACAGTGGCCGTCTGCTACCAGTGTTATTCAGTCCAGCTCCGATGTGCTGTTGTACACTGCTGCAGATTCGCCTGGCTGTAATTCCTTTTGCCAATCTCTGCTGAGTAGATCGGCTGTAGCAGTACAAGCTAATTGAGCGATCGGCACTGAGCACAATTAGTTACGCAGCTGAGGGAACTGTCAATAGCTGGCTTCGTTAACACACATGATCCATGCAGCCATACACCTTCACTTCAAAAAAGAACTTTCACAGGATTTGGTAGCTGGGTACATATTACTGAAGATCCATCCAAGGCCAGTCAGTATCATAGAGGAAGTTACAGATTTCAAGTTTCACTTTCAGAAACTAGTAGTTACTCACAATGAAGACAAGAACATACGATCTTTAAATGCTTAATGTTTCAGATACATTTACATTACATGGAACATTTACCAGAGCATTTGCATTGTATAAATGTTATTCTTTCACCTAAATATTTATTGATCATTAGCCTTTCCAACTCTGAATCAATGCCATCAAGTAATAGTACCATATGGCTTTCTTAACATTCTAGGTTCTTGCTTTGCAACAAGCAATACCATATGCCCTATTCAATAATCCAGGTTTAAATCCAATCAATAATATATCACCTGTAGTTATTTAGTTTAATGAAGGGTCCTGGTTGCCATCATCCTATAAACGTCTCCATCTGGTCCAGAGACTGCATCTTACATCCTCTCCTCCCAGCTTTATTAGGTCTTATTGAAAGCAGGTGACGATACCGACACAAGATGGGAGTTTTTAGTATTCCTGTTACAGCTATATACTCACAAATGTCAACCTTCTCCTCCTCATCCTCCAAACAACACAGCAGTTTTTCAGTTTACATTCTATTGATTCCCAAAGCTAATGCCTTCCTCCACAGGCTCTGTGTTAAACAGGAATACGTCCTGTCTTCCACGGTAGCAATTATTCATGCTTTACTGAAAAGAGCCCTACGATAGAAATGAAAACAGAAAGGTATCTTTTCTATGAAGACGCTGTGTATTATTACCGGACAATTCCATTGACAAATATCCAAGTCACAGACTGTGACTGATAAAGCCTCAAGGCAGAACCGTTGTCCGTAAAATACAAACATACATCCAACATGTCAGGCTCACGATGTAACACAGAAGACTCTGTGGAGCGTGGCAGAATCGAAATAAGTTTGCAGGGCCAATGATTCGCAATCAGGGTACAGCTAATCGGCTCGACTCTCCTACACAAACTTAGCACCCTTCTCAGCATTAAACCCACCCATGCTAATCTAAGCCTCAGGCATACTGGCCTACACAATGGACAGGTTACTGAATAGCAGCCTTTATTAAAAACCTGACTGATTTTAAATGCGCGTTGAGTCGATCGGGCAAGAGGCGAGTGATTAGTTCGCACCTTGGGCCTAAGGACTCTCTGATAGTGTGAATAGAAACACAAAGACTAACCCAAATCCTTTTACTTTACATCTGCTGCGGAAAATTAATCTGCGATTGTTCGCATCCACTTGCGACCCACAGACTATAAAGTCTTGATATTTTCTTTCCCTATTCTCTTCAAGAACAAAGCTGTTTCTAGAACCCCCATCGCTCCAGTACTCAGAGTCCCTCAATAGTGTGTTTGTTGAAAAAACACAACTTGTTTCCAGGGGAATATTATCCAGCATGAAACTTGGTGTATGTATATAGGAGACACGTTATTACATGGAGATGCTGGAGGGGATACCGGGCTGGAGTGATCTCTTCCAGCACACCAACCCTACAGAGATGGAAGAGTTTGGGTCTAAGAATAATCAAACTGCACTTGATTGTGTTACTAATAATATCTCTGATGTGTTAACGTAGTGTTGGGATATTCCTGTCTTACATAGCAGAGATGTTCCCATCTTCACACTGTGAAGATGTTCTCATCTTTACATTGTGTAGACGTTCCCATTTTACTTGACAGGATGATGTCACCAAATGAAGCTATGATGGTGAGTGAGTGAGTATGGTTTTACGCCACTTTTATCAATATTTCAGCAATTTCAAAGTGGTGACACCAGATATGGGCTTCACACATTGTACCCATGTGGGGAATCAAACCTAGGACTGCGGTGTGATGAGCAATTGCCTCAACCACTAGGCTACCCCAGCAGCCCCTAATGATGTTGAAAGGTCATAAGGTATTTATCCTAATGCAATGAAAATATCATACCGTTGATAAATGAAGATGATCATATACATGCGCACAGTTGTCTCACATCTCATCCAAGTTGACAAGCCCTCAACATATTATGGATGACATGGATGTAGCAAGAAATAAATTTCAGCAAACAATAAATTTGACATATTTTGAATACTGATTATCATTATCTTGAGAATATGTTGCTTCCATTTAGTGAGACTGACTTGGATGGAATATTTAACACCACTTATGGAATCCAGCCAATCACAACTGGGGTATTACATGAAATACATGGACTTTATTACACAGTGTTATCAACTGGGCATCGAGTGAGTGAGTGAGTGAGTGAGTCTGGTTTTATGCCGCTTTTAGCAATATGCCAGCAATATCATGGCGGTGGACACCAGAAATGATTGGGCATCGAACCAAGACAATGACCAGAAGATATGTTAACCACTGGGCCACCTTGTCCAACACTTGACACATTACACACAAATTGCTTCCCAAAACTGTGGCATTCACAACATATGTCTCGCATGGTACTGTTTCCACTGATCCTTATTTTCAACTCACATACATTTATATCCCATTTATACTGACTCACACTTTTTAGCATATTTCTGACTAACTCACACTTTTTGGCATATTTCGGACTAACTCACACTTTTTAGCATATTTCGGACTAACCTATACATTTTATCATAGACCATGCGAGGAATGTTATCAAAGCATGACATCTATCTAAACACTGTTATTACTACAGTTATTACTGACATTCAGATCTAATGGTTTACTTCTGACATACACCACTTAACTTTGACAGGGATAATCAGACATGTCAGTCGATTAAAATATACAGTCGGCATGTTATGAGAGTTTGTTTTGTGTATCATGGAAAGATAGAACTATCCCTATCGAAAGTGGAGTAGTATAGAGTACATCTGTATGGTCCCATCCTACACATCATGTTGTAATGTCTTGAAGGTGATTAATTGCTTCAGTACAATGTTACTGACTTACTTGCCTTTCACACCCGTGAAGATTTGGGTTAGAATTAGTCTTCAGCAACTCATGCTTGTCGTAAGACACAGCTAATGGGATCGGGTGGTCAGGCTCGCTGATTTGGTTGATGCGTGTGTAGATTGATGCTCATGATGCAAATCACTGGATTGTCTGGTCCAGACTCAACAAGAAGACAAAGTCATCAATATCCTCCCGCAATGGCAAAATACTCTTAATGATTATGTCTACGAGTTATGATTATGTCAAATATTTAGGTGTGTATATAGAAAAGTGGAAGGAGAGTATTGAAAGGTTTTGAAAGTTCTGCTCCAGAAAGGAGCACTATCACCAATTTCAGTCTAAGTCAAACTTGTTGCCATGGAAACGCCAAAAATATTTTATTCAGAATTCCAAAACTACCAAAAGGCACCAGTACACCACCAGATCTATCTATGTGCCAAGTTTGGTGAAGAAACATTGAACGGTTTTAGAGTTCTGCTCCGGAAAAGAGCACTACCACCAATTTCAGTTTTAGTCAAACTTGTTGCCATGGAAATGACAAAAATATTTTATTCAGAATTCCAAAACTACCAAAAGGCACAAGTACACCACCAGATCTATCTATGTGCCAAGTTTGGTGAAGAAATAGTGAACAGTTTTAGAGTTCTGCTCAGGAAAAGAGCACTACCACCAATTTCAGTCTAAGTCAAACTTGTTGCCATGGAAACGCAAAAATATTTTATTCAGAATTCCAAAACTACCAAAAGGCACAAGTACACCACCAGATCTATCTATGTGCCAAGTTTGGTGAAGAAATATTTAACGGTTTTAGAGTTCTGCTCCGGAAAAGAGCACTACCACCAATTTCAGTCAAAGTCGAACTTGTTGCCATGGAAACGCCAAAAATATTTTATTCAGAATTCCAAAACTACCAAAAGGCACCAGTACACCACCAGATCTATCTATGTGCCAAGTTTGGTGAAGAAACATTGAACGGTTTTAGAGTTCTGCTCCGGAAAAGAGCACTACCACCAATTTCAGTTTTAGTCAAACTTGTTGCCATGGAAATGACAAAAATATTTTATTCAGAATTCCAAAACTACCAAAAGGCACAAGTACACCACCAGATCTATCTATGTGCCAAGTTTGGTGAAGAAATAGTGAACAGTTTTAGAGTTCTGCTCCGGAAAAGAGCACTACCACCAATTTCAGTCTAAGTCAAACTTGTTGCCATGGAAACGCAAAAATATTTTATTCAGAATTCCAAAACTACCAAAAGGCACAAGTACACCACCAGATCTATCTATGTGCCAAGTTTGGTGAAGAAATATTTAACGGTTTTAGAGTTCTGCTCCGGAAAAGAGCACTACCACCAATTTCAGTCAAAGTCGAACTTGTTGCCATGGAAACGCCAACAATATTTTATTCAGAATTCCAAAACTACCAAAGGCACCAGTACAACACCAGATCCATGTATGTGCCAAGTTTGGTGAAGAAATATTGAACGGTTTTAGAGTTCTGCTCTGGAAAAGACAAATGTGCACGGACGGATGGACGGACGGACGGACGCACGCACGGACGGACAGAGTCCATTTTAATACCCCACGCAAAACGCGTTGCGGGGGATAATTATTCCATATGGCTGGAATATTGCTGAGTGCAGTGTTAAACAACAAACAAAAAAATATGCCTTTCAACCGGATGAAATAACTCATTCTTGGAACTTTTCCTTGAATGAAGGACCAAGCAATATGTAACAAATTCATCAATTATCATCGTCTTTGTTTCTCAAAAACCTTTGTCATAAGAAAGTTCCAAAAGAAATTGTTAAAAGGTATTGTTTTTGGAATATGGGTAACAATTATTTCATAA